CCTTCAAGAACAAGCTCTATGAGCAGCATCTTGGAAAGTCTGCCAACTTCCAGAAGCCCAAGCCTGCCAAAGGCAAGCCCGAGGCCCACTTCTCCCTGATCCACTACGCGGGCACCGTGGACTACAACATTGTCGGTTGGCTGGACAAGAACAAGGACCCCCTGAACGACACCGTGGTCGGGCTGTACCAGAAATCCTCAGTGAAGACTCTGGCTCTCCTCTTCGCTGGAAGAGAAACTGAAGCAGGTAACTTTCAACAGAATTAACCTTTTACTCAATATAGAAAACCCAGGCAGAGAACGCCTGCACTATGATTGCTTGTGATTTCTCTTCCTCTTAGAGTCTTCTGGAAAGAAAGGTGGTAAGAAGAAGGGTTCTTCCTTCCAGACCGTGTCTGCTCTCTTCAGGGTACAAACTTCATTTTTCTCTAATTAGATTCAGGAAGTTCAATTTTACCTTATTGTGTGTGGAAGGGGAAGTAATCTTGCAAGGATTCTAGAACTAGATGTGGCCCAAAGAGACAGGTCAGCAGGCTGTGGCAGAACTGAGTCTCAGGAAGGCCTGAGGTAGCTTGGAAGAGAGAGCTCAGTATACAGGAAACACAGGTGTCCGGAGGTTGGAGTCAGTGTGAGATGTATAATTGAGTACTGGGGACAGGAAATGAAGTTATTTGACAATAAATGTTCCTTTGGGAGAAGATTAAGCAAAACCTAAGATTTTCTTGAGCCTATGGGAGTGCCCAAATGAGGCAGGTGCTCAGGTGTATATTGGCATAGAACCAAAATGAGTAGCTTTTGAAAGTTGAGGATAGAAAAGCAGTGGCAGGATTTGGAGACTGATCTAAAAGAAGAAAATAAGAAACCAGATGTGCTAAGAAATAGCTCTTTAAGGAAAACTGACTCATCTTTTGACAATCCGATCTGTAATAACTGAAGTTCTAGTTATTCTGAAAAAAAAATCACGATTTCCATTGAGTGGAAAACTTCTCACGTTTGGTAATATGGCTGTCGGTTTTCTGCCAATTCCCAGAACATGGCATTGCAGAGCCCCTTTCTATGAAACCAGCAGGAGGACCCAGCTCTGTAATTATAAGGAGTAAGCATGTAATAGAAAAGCAGGTGCAACTGAAGTTGGGTAAAGAAAGAAATGGGAGATTTGGAGGAACACTTTGAATTACTTGTAAATCAGACCGCATATCTAGGCAAAAGATCGTAAGTGACGTGTTTCCATGTGTTAAAATGTCACATACTTATAACATATGCTAGGAAATTCAATAGCAGCGAACAACCACTTTAACGGCTAGTTTATAAGGCACAAAGAGAGGAAACAGAAGGACAAGTTGGGAGTGTGGAAATTCCAGAGAAAATCCTTTGCAAATTCAACCTGGATGCTATTCATTACAATCAAACCAATGTCGTGGCTCAGGATGATTTATGTCTACAAATGTCAATGTAAGAAAACAGTGCATTTTTAAGCAAATATTCATATGGTTCCACAGGAGAATTTGAACAAGCTGATGACCAACCTGAGGAGCACTCACCCTCACTTTGTACGGTGCATCATCCCCAATGAAACCAAAACTCCCGGTAAGGCACTTCTGACATCCAGACGAGTTCCGGTGTGTCTGCTTTAGATCATGAAATAAGACGTGGATGGTATTTCTCCTTCTAGGGGCCATGGAGCATGAACTGGTCCTGCACCAGCTGCGCTGTAACGGAGTGCTGGAGGGCATCCGCATCTGCAGGAAGGGCTTCCCCAGCAGGATCCTCTATGCAGACTTCAAACAGAGGTTTGACTTTCTCATTGTGAATTATTTTTCCTTTCTTAGCATTTTTTGGGGAGGGGAGGTAGTTAGGTTTATTTATTTATTTTTAGAGGAAGTACTGGGGATGGAACCCAGGACCCTCTGCATGCTAAGCATGTAGTCTACTACTTGAGCTATACCCTCCCCATCACTGCTAATTATTTTAAGAGGTTCTTGTTATTTACTTTCATTTTTCAATGAAATAATCCTATCCTATATACCTTCTATTAAAACTGAAGAGAAACTCACAACAGTGTAAAATAACTATATTTCAATTTAAAACATTAAATAAAATAAAAAATAACAACTAAAAAAATCGAAGAGAAGAGAAACAAATTTAACATAGTGTGTATTGATACCCCAAAAGTTAGATACCCTTTGAATATATAGAGAATATTTAAAGAGGTAGATTTGACTGCTTGTTTATATTTGTCAGACTACCCAACAGTTAAGTTATTTCTACAGTATGCAGGAAAATTTCTTGTTGGTGACAACAATTATATAATACAATTTATTTGTCTGGCTTAAACAGATACAAAGTATTAAATGCAAGTGCCATCCCTGAAGGACAGTTCATTGACAGCAAGAAGGCTTCTGAGAAGCTCCTTGGGTCCATCGACATTGACCACACCCAGTACAAATTCGGTCACACCAAGGTAATACCCGTCTCTAACGCCCTCTTGACATTGTGCCTGTCTCTCTGAAGTCTATGCAAAGTTTCTGATCTACAACTCTGCCCCCACACAGGTCTTTTTCAAAGCTGGTCTTCTGGGGCTCCTAGAGGAGATGCGAGATGACAAGCTGGCCCAGCTGATGACCCGAACCCAGGCCAGGTGCAGAGGGTTCTTGGCAAGAGTGGAGTACCAGAAGATGGTGGAGAGAAGGTACTAAATGGGATACTTTACTAAATCCCATCAGCCTAGGCCTTTTAATTTTGCTTCCTGTTATATCTGACTTTAAACATTTATGTTCCCATTACAGAGAGTCCATCTTCTGCATCCAGTACAATATCCGTGCCTTCATGAATGTGAAGCACTGGCCCTGGATGAAGCTGTATTTCAAGATCAAGCCCCTCCTCAAGAGCGCAGAAACAGAGAAGGAGATGGCCAACATGAAGGAAGAATTTGAGAAGACCAAAGAAAGCCTTGCAAAGTCTGAAGCCAAAAGGAAAGAGCTGGAGGAAAAAATGGTCACTCTGATGCAAGAGAAAAATGACCTGCAGCTCCAGGTTCAATCTGTGAGTATCAGAACCCACTGCCTGCAATCTGATGCTAAAATTTCGATTCAGCAATTACTAGAGGAGAGGCCAGATTCCACCTTATTAAGGGATTGATTATCAATCGTTCCTAATTCACAACTGCTCAGAATGTTCCATAAGATTTTATATATAATATTACTAAAAAGCACTGTGATAGGATTCCTTGCTGTTGAGAAGGGAAAAATAAAAAACATTCTTCCTTTCCCCCTGTTGTTTTTCCTAACAGAATATGGGCAGGAAATAAAGTGATCTTTGATCCCTAAGATTATCCCTACTGAAAAATGCAAATAATAGCAGTGAAAAAAGAAAAATATTGACAGGGAAAAGGAGACTTTGTGATGAAAATGTATCAACTTGAAACCAATATTCTGAATTTCTATATCTATGGTCCCCCGGGCAATTTCCCTCTCAACTATATCATTAGAAACTCTCTAGTCCCTGAAAGAACAGAATCATTGCAAAGATAATGGCAATACTTTTTATAAACAGTGTCAATGAGATAATGCATGAGAGATAGTGTTGATGTTCTTGGTCCAATGTCCCAGTAAATACCCAGAGAATATTTGCAAGAAATACTTGATCAACACCATCACCTAACCCATTTTTGTGACCTAAATGACAAGAGAATTTCAGCTACCGCCACTTAAATCAACAACAGAAATGTTTAAGGTTACTCTCTAGTTCTCTGAATTCAGAACAAACTCTACATTGGTTCCACTGGGTGCACAGGTTTTAGATACAAGACTAGAAAATTTAAAGAAAGATGAATTGTAAATACCTAGGTCAGCACTGTGATTTTCCTTGTAGTTTTCAAAGACCAAGGTTTTCTAAATTGAGGAGGGGTTCATCACACCTTCAAGAATCAAAGGATAATTGCATAGGGTACCTGAGTTTGATCCAAGTATAGTTCTCTCCTTTCAACATAATATGACCTCTTTTCAACATTATTCTATCAACAACCTATTTAATAAATGTTTCATGAAGTAACAAGCATTAGGGATACAACTTTGAGCAAGAGACATGGACGCTGCCCTCAGAGAGTTTATACTCCAACTCCCATTTCTTCTCCTAAGAAATACTCTTGCTACTTCTCAAAGCACCACCTTTTAAAAATGCTCTGTTGCCCTGAGTCATTCCAGCTGCTCCCTTTAACTCCCAGCTACTCTTGTTACTGTAGGACATGTCTTCCTTCTAAGTCACTTTTCTGATATTACCCCTCCCTCCAAGCACCTGCTAGATACCCAACCATTTTCTTTGTTTTCTTTTAATAAACTTTTTTGGAAAATAATATTAAATGTATCTTCAGTGCCATAAGTGCCCAATAAATATTTCCTAAACAATGGAAAACCAATAAAAATTAACCTAAGACTTTAAAGCACAATTTACTTGTTTGGTTTCAAAATCTTAATAAAATCTGAGAATGTTCACAAAACAAAACCCAAAAGTGTCTATTGTTCCTTCTCAGGAAGCAGATAGCTTGGCTGATGCAGAGGAAAGATGTGACCAGTTGATCAAAACCAAAATCCAGCTGGAGGCCAAGATCAAGGAGGTGACTGAGAGAGCTGAGGATGAGGAAGAGATCAATGCTGAGCTGACGGCCAAGAAGAGGAAGCTGGAGGACGAATGTTCAGAACTGAAGAAAGACATAGATGACCTTGAGCTGACACTGGCCAAGGTTGAAAAGGAGAAACATGCCACAGAGAACAAGGTATGAAACACACTTCTATGTAGCATTTAGAGATTCTGCCATCCAATTATGCTGCTTTGGAGCAAAGATAATGTCTTCCTTAACTTTCCTAGGTAAAAAACCTCACAGAAGAGATGGCAGGACTGGATGAAGTCATAGCTAAGCTGACCAAGGAAAAGAAGGCCCTCCAGGAGGCCCACCAGCAGACCCTGGATGACCTACAGGCAGAAGAGGACAAAGTCAACACCCTGACCAAAGCTAAAACCAAGCTAGAGCAGCAAGTGGATGATGTAAGTCTAGTATTATCAAGGAAATTATTTACTTGAAAAGGAAGATAAGCAATCCTTTTGACTTGACATTATTTATATTAAGCTTGAAGGGTCCTTGGAGCAAGAAAAGAAACTGCGCATGGACTTAGAGAGAGCCAAGAGGAAACTGGAGGGTGATCTAAAATTGGCCCAAGAATCCACAATGGATATAGAAAATGACAAACAGCAACTTGATGAGAAACTCAAAAAGTGAGTATGATAGAATTCAACTGTAACCTGCTTCTTGTCTGGGTCTCTAAAATATTACTTCATGGCACACAGAAGAAAAACAATGTCATCTTTGACTTTTGTCCGTAAGGAAAATGGTACACTGCTGACTTGTAAAACATGTCCTACTCACTTCCTCAACACCAGCAGTGTAGAGACATTCAATTACACAGAGGAAAGAAGACTGGTAGGAGGACGGACGGAGAGCTAACGTGTTGCTCTTCTAACAGGAAAGAATTTGAGATGAGCAATCTGCAAAGCAAGATTGAAGATGAACAGGCCCTTGCGATGCAGCTGCAGAAGAAGATCAAGGAGTTGCAGGTAAGTATGTGATTTCCATCAGTCTCATCCAAAATGACAAAAAAATTCCTACCACCAAGGAGCTCTTAACTTTGAGCCTTTCCCCATGGCCAGGCCCGCATTGAGGAGCTGGAGGAGGAAATCGAGGCAGAGCGGGCATCCCGGGCCAAAGCAGAGAAGCAGCGCTCTGACCTCACCCGGGAACTGGAGGAGATCAGCGAGCGGCTGGAAGAAGCCGGTGGGGCGACTTCAGCCCAGATTGAGATGAACAAGAAGCGGGAGGCCGAGTTTCAGAAAATGCGCCGGGACCTGGAGGAGGCCACCCTGCAGCACGAAGCCACGGCGGCCGCGCTGAGGAAGAAGCACGCGGACAGCGTGGCCGAGCTGGGGGAGCAGATTGACAACCTGCAGAGGGTCAAGCAGAAGCTGGAGAAGGAGAAGAGTGAGATGAAGATGGAGATCGATGACCTGGCCAGCAACATGGAGACCGTCTCCAAAGCCAAGGTACAATTATGATTTAAGTTTTAAAGAGATTTCTGTAGGACAGGTGTGAGTGAGTCTTTCAAGAATCAGTAGTAACTGGCAGGAGGAGACTATGGAAGTGCCAGGCAGGAGGCTGGGCAGAGAGAGGGGCAACTACAGTGTGTTGGGGCAAAGTGCTCCATCTTTACATGAGAATAGCTGTACACAAAGAACATGCACCCTAACAACTCAAGTTCTTTCAAATAAAAAATACAATTCAATGATCCATTCTGAAGTCTTTAAAGCACTTCACCTTAATTAGGCTTTTTGTTTTTCCCTTAAACACAAATACATAACTTGTGTCTCAAAAAAAAAAAATCTCATAAGCTGCATCATCAAGTACCATTATTCTCGTATCACAGACAAGCCAACTGAGTAAAGGCTGCAATTCACAAAGCAATTTGGTGGCACTATGTTTAGACTACCAGTCTTGTTACTACTTCCATCACAATCTAAGGCCTGGGTTGTCTTCATTTGTTTCTAAAGAAAGTTTATTCTCAAAATAAATGAGCTCCAATGGAATGCCTGGATTACTGAAAATGTCTATGGACCAAACGCTTGCAATGCCATCTGCCACTTTTTGAATTCAGGGAAACCTAGAGAAGATGTGCCGCACTCTAGAAGACCAACTCAGTGAACTTAAGACAAAGGAGGAAGAGCAGCAGCGGCTGATCAATGACCTGACAGCTCAGAGAGCACGCCTGCAGACGGAATCAGGTGGGACATTTACCAGTGTTGACATTGAATGATAAATTTACAATGCATGCTCAATTCACTGAAAACCTCTGCAGTGAGGTACCTGAGCTCACATATGACCTCCCTGGGAGGTGCCCGCCCATTTGAACACATTATTGAACACTGGTATGGACTAGTTTTTTTCTTTCTGTCTTTTCGGTTTGGGGTTTGTTTTCTTTTAAATAAAGAGATCCAGGCTCTTTTGCTTTAACATTTTAAAGCAAATTTGACTCTAATCTATAAGTTACCAAAAAGTGTATCCTCAGAGTATTTTATTTTCACTTTTCAAAATGCTGCCATGAGTTTTTTATTTTATTACCTTCATTAGTCAGTGTAATGTTATCCTCATTTTAAAGATGACAGATTATGATAGTGATGAAATGACCTGTCCAAGGATGCTCACTGCAGTCTTTCCTCAAGTCTTTCCAACTGCTGGTAGCACCAGCAGCAGGTGTAGGGAAATATTCAGGACCCCAACCCAGCCAAGAGCATTCAAGGGAGGGCTACAGAGTTTTGATCATGCAAATTGGACAGTCTTTGCCTTTACTCCTCCTCTTATCAACTTATCCAACTTTCTACCGGAGTTTGACTTCCCCAAGCAAGAGGTAACAAGATGGAAATTGTTCTATGGGTCATTTGGACTATTAAAGTAGTAGGCAGATCAGAGTCTTGGAGAAATATTTTACTCTTTCATATTCATTCAAATATTATTCTTTCTAGACCACAGCTCAAGTAAGGCTTTTGTTACTGTTATGCAGGTGGTAAGCACACTTTATGAAAATGAAAAATGGCATTCTTGAAGAGTGAAAATGCTTGTAGTTTCTTTTCCTCAGCATATGCTTACTCTTAGTAATTTAGTGGTATGGGAAAAAAAATGAAAGTTGTGATTCTTATTAAGTGTTAAAAAGATAAGGCTTCCAGGTAACCAGTTCAAAAAGTGGTGCTAAAAGGATTTTCTCTCTTTTTAACATAATACAGTTGACCCTTGAACAACATGGGTTTGGATTGCGTGGGTCCACTTATAAGTGGATTTATTTTTTTTCAGTAAATACATACTACATACTACGTACTACGGTACTCCGTGATCCATGGGTGGCTGAATCTGTAGATGTGGATATAGAGGGCTGGCTGTAAAGTTATACATGGATATTCGACTGTGCAGTGGGTCAGAACCCCTAATCCTCCAGTTTGTTCAAGGGTCAACTGTATAGTGTATTTTCTGAATTATGTTGCTTAAAGAATGGGAGACAAATTTAAATGCTACTTAGTTACCCATAATCCAACTCATTCTTGGGGTGGAAGGATGCTTGATTATTTAATATAAAAATGCTTCCAGGATTTTCTTTTGAACATCACTTCTACTTACAGAGGGAACTGCTCAAAGTCTCCTATTTTTCACAGAATAAATTTTGTTTCAGTCAATGGAAGGTAAACTAGTACAACACTGTTGCCTTAGACAAAAAGCACTGGAATGTTGTTTTGGTTAGATTTACATTCTTTTCATGTTTCTTCATCAATTTTTACTGGGATCAAATAATTTTAAATGTCTCCCAAAATGTCTTATGCTGTTCTTAAGCATGTATTCTACCTCAAAGTCTTCCTTGCTTCTCATTTTACATAGATGTGCTCATCAGGGTTGAAGTGGATGCTGGTGGTTTGCTATAATCCACATTCTACATCATGTTTCAGACCCACCTCCCTTTCCCTGCTCCAGTCTGTAATTTAGAGCTTTAATTTCCAAAGTAGAGTTGAGTTTTCTGGTTCCTGGTCTTTACAGGTGAATATTCACGCCAGCTAGATGAAAAGGACACATTAGTTTCTCAGCTCTCGAGGGGCAAACAAGCATTCACACAACAGATCGAGGAACTGAAAAGGCAGCTTGAAGAGGAGATAAAGGTTAGCCCTGCTTTTTGCTGCTGTTGCTCTTGTCATTGTCCTTGCTTTTGAGGTTGTTTTCTGCTTACTTCTACACATTTTCTTCTGGTGGCCTACAGGAGCTTAGGGACTAAACATAACTTTAAAGATATAAAATTAAGTCACCAATCTCTCTGTTCTCAGGCCAAGAGTGCTCTGGCTCATGCCCTGCAGTCGGCCCGCCATGACTGTGACCTGCTGCGGGAACAGTACGAGGAGGAGCAGGAAGCCAAGGCCGAGCTGCAGAGGGCGATGTCCAAGGCCAACAGCGAGGTGGCCCAGTGGAGGACCAAATACGAGACGGACGCCATCCAGCGCACGGAGGAGCTGGAGGAGGCTAAGTATGTTCTAGACTTAGTTAAAATGGAAATATCTTCATTAACAAAGTGCACCTGCTATATGTACTACAAGGGCAAATGTCCACTGCTCCCCAAACAAATAAAAACCTAGGGGAAAATCATGCATGACATAAACCTAAATAAGAAAAACCAATACTCCAGGTTGCCGATAGGGAAAAATTAAATTAAATTAGAGGACAGAAGGAAAAAGGCAAGAGGATAGAAGGATATAAGGCCAGACAAAGCTGAATGATTATTTTTAAAAAGGGGAACTTTGGACATCATCCTATCTACACAAGTGTGGAGACAAAGAGTCAGCTGTGCTCTCCTGTGCTTCTCTCTCCTCTTAACCACTAATGGAAGAATCAGTCCAAGGTGATAGGAAGGTAAGAGAAAAACAGTCAGACTTTGAAGCATAGCTCCTCCTTTTCAGATGTAAAAATATGGCTTTTTGTAGAGGGAAAAAAGAGATACATTGTTAAAGACTAAAAAGTAGACATTAAATTCTGTAATAAGAAAGAACACATATTGTTATATAAAGGTCTAAATATTCAATGCAATCCAAAGTTCAAAACTGAACTGTAAGAGGGAGAATCTTATTCAACAGAGTTTAAGGAAGGGATCTGCTTATTCAACAGGAAGTTTAAGGAGAGATCAAGTCATTTATTCTGGGAATAATGTACAGCCATATAGTGGGAATTATAATGTTGTGGTAGATGCCTTAGAAGAGATTCTGAGTGACCAGTCACTTCTATTGTCCTCATTTCACTTTTCAGGAAGAAGCTGGCCCAGCGTCTGCAGGATGCCGAGGAACATGTGGAAGCCGTGAATGCCAAATGTGCTTCCCTTGAGAAGACCAAGCAGAGGCTCCAGAATGAAGTGGAGGACCTCATGATAGATGTGGAGAGGACAAATGCTGCCTGTGCAGCCCTGGACAAAAAGCAAAGGAACTTCGATAAGGTAAGTTCCACGCCAGTTTCTGCCTCAGCATTCAACATGTGATTAAAGTCTGCTACCTTCAGTGTGTCTGATTCAAGCCATCCAAGGGCTGTTCTCAGCAGCTGCTGCTCCATGAGTAGTAAGTAGGGAGAAGGAGGGACTCCAGTGATTTCTACTTTTCTCTTTTGTAATTATTTTTCAGTCCCAGATCATCTCAACTCTGTCTGAAAGCTGCCAGAATAGATGGTTTTCATACCATCAAACTTTCTCCACCAAATTTCTTGACCATTCCTTGCCCCTCAGGTCCTAGCAGAATGGAAACAGAAGTGTGAAGAAACTCATGCTGAACTTGAAGCTTCCCAGAAAGAGGCCCGCTCCCTTAGCACAGAGCTGTTTAAGGTCAAGAATGCTTATGAGGAATCGTTAGACCAACTTGAAACCTTGAAGCGGGAAAATAAGAATTTGCAACGTGAGTACATTTTACCCTTTCTTCAACAAAAGATCTGGAAGAATGTTTTCCCTCACTGAACGAATTTAATTTTTGTTCACCAACAGAGGAGATTTCTGATCTTACTGAGCAGATTGCAGAAGGAGGGAAACATATCCATGAACTGGAAAAAATAAAGAAGCAAATTGAGCAAGAAAAGTCTGAAATTCAAGCTGCTCTAGAGGAGGCAGAGGTAGATATTTTACTGTATACTCTAAAACAATTTTGAGAGGAGTTAAGATCTACTGAATTGGTGAATCAAAAGAAAAGAAAAATAATTTTGATGCTGTGTACTAAGTATGAGTATGGAAAACTCACCACGCATTAAACTAACATAACTGTACATCTGGAACTGTGTGCCAGACACTGAGAAAACAAAGATGAATAAGTTAAGGGCCCTGCCCTCAAGGGCATGAAATAGTTGGAGAGACAGAATTAAACAAAACCAACAGTAAAACACTGTAGAAATTTCTATAACAACAGAATAAAGATGTGTCATGGTGGCACAAAGGTAGGAACCAATTCATATTTCTAGAATACTACACACTTCCAGTCCCTGCTAATGTCACCCCTTGCTGTCATTAAGGCATCTCTTGAACACGAAGAGGGTAAGATCCTGCGCATCCAGCTGGAGTTGAACCAAGTCAAGTCTGAGATTGACAGGAAAATTGCTGAAAAGGATGAGGAAATTGACCAGCTGAAGAGGAACCACGTTAGAGTCGTCGAGTCAATGCAGAGCACTCTGGATGCTGAGATCAGGAGCAGAAATGATGCCATCAGACTCAAGAAGAAGATGGAGGGAGACCTCAATGAAATGGAAATCCAGCTGAACCATGCCAACCGCATGGCTGCTGAAGCCCTGAGAAACTACAGGAACACCCAAAGCATCCTCAAGGTAAATGGGTTCAATAGACGGTCCGAGGGCAGTTGGAGTGAGGGCAGCCCTGAGAACAAGGTGGCTCAATGATCATTCATTCCACAGGACACCCAGCTACACCTGGATGATGCTCTCCGGGGCCAGGAGGACCTGAAGGAGCAGCTGGCCATGGTGGAGCGCAGAGCCAACCTGCTGCAGGCCGAGATTGAGGAGCTGAGGGCCTCCCTGGAGCAGACAGAGAGGAGCAGGAAAATCGCAGAACAGGAGCTCCTGGACGCCAGTGAGCGCGTCCAGCTCCTGCACACTCAGGTGAATATTAACAGAACAGTAAAAAATACAGTGGACTGAAAAGGAAATTCTTGCTCAAATCATAGTACTACCTAAAAATTTATTCATAATGCTTTATGGAGGTTAAAGTATAAAACATTTAACATTTTGGGGTTAACAATATTTGTTTATCTAAATTGTGGCATTCAGAGTTAACTGTCTTGTAAAAATGTATTATCAACTCAGATATTTTATGGAACAAGAAGGTATACTATTAACTTAATTAGTTTGTAAGTTCATTAGCACATTGGACATCTTAATTTTGCTTTTATGTATTTAATATTTCTAAATTTTATATTTTAACCAGAACACCAGTCTAATCAACACCAAGAAGAAGCTGGAGACAGACATCTCCCAACTCCAGGGAGAGATGGAGGACATTATCCAGGAAGCTCGCAATGCGGAAGAGAAGGCCAAGAAGGCCATCACTGACGTGAGCAGACGGCCACGCAGGGGTGGTCAAGCTAGAATCTTGACGGGCTATCTTATCTTAGCTCTCTCAACCTGTTTCATTTTACTGCTCATTAGGCTGCCATGATGGCCGAGGAGCTGAAGAAGGAGCAGGACACCAGCGCCCACCTGGAGCGGATGAAGAAGAACCTGGAGCAGACGGTGAAGGACCTGCAGCACCGCCTGGATGAGGCTGAGCAGCTGGCCCTGAAGGGCGGGAAGAAGCAGATCCAGAAGCTGGAGGCCAGGGTGGGTTTTCTGATCAGCGTATTCCCGTCTCATTCCAATCCAATGCACAATTTTGAATACCTAGCACTTCTAGGTGATGTGGGGCACACAAGATGAACAAGACATATTCCTTGCTGCCCGAGAGCTCATAAGGGGGGGAGGTGTAGTGATTAGCCTAAGGCATCAAGTACTACATATATAGCCAAGTAAAAGAAGTACTATGGATCTTCTGAAGAAGTAGAAATCCACTGAGTGAATGGATCATAGTAAACACCTCTAAAATGCCCATCTTCTTGCAGGTACGTGAACTCGAAGGAGAAGTCGAAAGTGAACAGAAGCGCAACGTTGAAACCGTCAAGGGTCTACGCAAACATGAGAGAAAAGTGAAGGAACTCACTTACCAAGTAAGGAAAATGTCCTGTCTTGGTTTTTCCCCTAGTCTGCAAGAAATCAAAAACCAAATATGATGGTATCTGTACTTTCAAGAAACTTACTCTTTAAAATATTTCAGACTGAGGAAGACCGCAAGAACATTCTCAGGCTCCAGGATTTGGTGGATAAACTGCAATCCAAGGTGAAAGCTTACAAGAGACAAGCTGAGGAAGCGGTGAGTTCAGAACCCCTTGGGGTGATGGGGCAGCCTCCTGTTCTCAGTTATGTCCAAATCAATTTAGTTAAAGGAATGAAAGAAAGAAGGGTAAAATAAGGAAGGATCAAAGGAAAATGGTTCAATAAAGATCTGAAGAATGAAAAGAAACCAACCACTTGACGAGCCAGGGGAGAATGTCTAGGGAGGAGGAAGAGCAGATGCAAGGCTTCTGAGCGGGAAAGAGGAGAGAGGGGCACAGGGAGGAGGACAGGGAGAGAGGAGGACATGTTCTGGTCCAAGAGGCAGAAAGAATGAGGGAGACAACAGCAGACATGGAGCTTGAGATCTGGGCAGGGGGTGGGTCATGGAGTCTTCCGGGCCATGATAAGAAGTCTGGCTTTTATCTGAGATACAATGGAACACTGGGAAGCCGCAGGAGGGGTTTAATCTGGGTTGGTCACGCCCTGATTTATACATATATTTTTTTTTAAAAAAAAGAGTATTCTAGCTACTAGGTGGAGAATGGATTGTGAGAAAACACAGTTAGGTGCAGGGAGACATTTTAGGAGGGTTTTCAGGTGGCCCAGTGGCTTTTGGAACACAAAGAGAGAAGTGGAGAGATTCAAGGTCTATTTTGGAGGTAGAAACTACAAGATATGCTAATAGGTTGTGCTTGGGAGGTGAGAGAAAGGAAAGTAAGGCTAATTCATCAGATTTATGGTTTGAGTAACCAGGTGGATGGCATAATACTACAATGGAGAGCTAAGGAAAGAACATATTTGCAGCTCAAGAAGGAAACACAAATTCTGTTTTGGAAACACTGTTTGAAATACCATTATATACATAAGTGAAGGTGTCAAGTAAGCAGTTAAATATGAAGTCTCAGAAGGTCTGGACTATGCTCAAACCACTAGATCCTCAACACTCCACCACATCTCATTCCCTAGCCTGGGATTTACCTGAAATAATAATCAAATAATATCAATTTCCTAAGTATGGAAGTATGGATATACACACCTACGTATCACAAATTAGTTCCTCTGATTATTTATGATTTTTCCTTTTCCCCTGACCTCTACGGTCTGAGAGAGAGAGAGAGAGAGAGAGAGAAAGACTTAACCCTATTCTCCTCATCTGTAAGAGGAAGATTTGGGTTTTTTTCCAAGCTCTGTTATTTAGTGACGCAGAATTTTCTAAATGTTCTAAATTTGAGTGCCATATTTTGGATGGTTCTTAATGAACCTTTAAAAAAAAAAAGAGTGACTACTAGAGACTAAACTAGAACTGGCCTTCACAAACTTACTGCTATATATTCAGACATAATCAGGGACCTCTCAGACTACTCTTACAAACAATCAACTTCTTGTTTAATTTCTTAACAACATTAAATGACAATAATTTATATTTAAGGCTGTTAGTCTGGTACAATACAGATTGTATACCCGCATTTTTAAGAAATCTGGTTCCGTTCTCAGGATTCAGGGGCGGGGTGGGGGTGGGGGCTGGAAAGCCAACATATTTAGTAGTAGCTTTAAGACGTTAAGATATTATAAAGTGAGAACTTTTAGAACATCTTAGAGACAAATGTCACCTGATCCTCCTACACATGACTTCAAGAAGTATAAGAGGAATTAATTTAAAAAAAAGAATCAAGAGTATTTCTTTAGGTTTTTAAAAAGGTTTATTAGAATGAACCATTTTTAAGTAAAAAGGGATTCAAAACCCACTGACCCAAGATACAAGAAATTCTGAACTTTCCCCCTCTCATAACTGTCTTTCCATTTATTCTCAGGAGGAACAATCCAATGTCAACCTCTCCAAGTTCCGCAAGCTCCAGCACGAGCTGGAGGAAGCCGAGGAGCGGGCGGACATCGCTGAGTCCCAAGTCAACAAGCTGCGGGTGAAGAGCCGGGAGGTTCACACGAAAATCATAAGTGAAGAGTGAGTCACCCAAATGCTAAAAAGTGACCAAAGAAATGCACAAAATGTGAAAATCTTTGTCACTCTGTTTTATACTAATGAGTTTTGCAGATAAAAAATTTATCTGTAAGGAACTTGTGAGTCTCTTTTTTCCCCACTGTGTCAATTTATATTTTTATCCAACAAGAAAGAATTAAACAAATGTTTTACTTATATGTTAAGGAGAAAGATTTAGTCACCAAGAATAAAACATGGCAGGAGCATCCAGGTCAATCCTCATCAGTAAGAGCCCTCAACATCATATATGCCCCTTGGGAAGCAAGAGGCAGATCTTCAGCATACAAAATACAGGGCATACAGAATACAGAGTAAACCTCGCCTGGCAAAGCCTTAGCTAGTTACCAGAAAAAAATGGATTTCTGTTAATGAAGTCATTGATTTTTTTTTCATAAAATGGTAGGAAATCCTTGATCCTAAGACTGAATAAAAACAAATCAAAACACCAATTACCTACATAAAATAAAAGTTGAAAAAAATGGAACAGACACTCAAAAATGCAAACTCTCCACTAAGTTTGGATTAGGACCCTTTGAGAGGGAAACACGTTCTACAGAATTTTCGGAACTTTTATTTTTTGTTACCTACAGATGTCTAGTTGTTTGTTTTACTGCGCCTCCTCGCTTGTTACTACATTAGAATGGTAAACAGGAATGAAGAATGAATATACTTTCAGTATCTGTTCTTTATCTTTGCAAATTTCTGTACATTTTACAAGGCTTTCTCCTAGTACTCCTGCTGGCAATAGACGGTCAAGTAATATTTTTAAAAAGGCAGTTCCCTGCTTTCACTATTTTATCTTTTGGTTGCTATACTGTGCCTTTCTATAGCGCACGGTAGTTTTTATCATCATTACTCTAACTGGTATTATACTACAGAGTTAGGTGCACTGAGGCTAGCATGGACCTTCTATTTATCTCATTTTTAATAGGCAGGGAGCGGGTAAAACAGCCAGTATCTTGTCCATTATGAATACATACAACAAAGGTCTTACAAGAACGTCACACACCTATTTAAAAGAAGCAATACACAAGTAAATGTTTTTAATTTTATTATTAAGGAGGTTAAACTTTCCAGCTGCACCCTCTGGATCTCAGTTTCTGGGGAAGATTCCCTCTGGGGGGTTACACACCTCCACCTATTTTTTATTGATCATTAGAGCCAACTGTTGGACGCTATAACTTGAGCTGCACGTTAAAAAATTTATAAAGCAGTTTTTAATAGTCCTTAATATATTATCCAATTTTCTACCAATGATTACAACCTGATATTCTAATTCCACATTGCCATTTCACTGGTTGACTTAATGAGAAAAATGAAGAGAGAAATGGACAAACGTTAAGCAGAGCAGCAGGAAAGGAAGGCAGGGTCTGATAGTGGTAGCCAATCTTAGTTGTACCCCACTTAATACTGACTTTCCTGGAAAACATGAGATTCCTTACGCCACTGGGACATTCTCCCACCTTTTTTTTTTTTAAACACCCACTTCCCTGTGTTCCTTTATTTTTTTTAAATAGACTTAATTTTTTTAGAGCAGTTTCAGATTTCAGCAGAATTGAGCAGAAAATACAAAGAGTTCCCACAGAGCCCTCTCCACCACACATATATACTCCCCTACCCTCAGCATCCCTCATCAGTGTGGCATGTTTGGTGCAATCGATGAACCAACATCATTCCCCCACCTTCTCGCTTGAATCGAACTCTGCCCCCCACCCCCACCCCGAGAACAGTGCCTCCCTGGAAGCTTCTGAAAGAAGGACATTATGCTCTCACACTTTAAGAATGCCTTTGTCCTGACCTAGAAGCGAAAAACCCCCTCAATCCCTACTGCTATTTATCCTCTTACAGAAAGCGCCTCCTTTAAGATGCATGCTATTCTGCTATGCCACATGCCTACTACTGTCATCAACTGACTTTTCATTCATTGAAGAGTTTGGCATCTCCTCCCTCTCCACCCAGTTCTTACTACATTCCTGGGAGACTTCAACATCCACCTGGGTGATTCATCCAGTACACTGACTTGCCCTCCACTGCTTTCTCTTCCACTCCATCTCTTCCACAGCCTCACTCTAGAAAATGCCCAACCTTCTAATTCACCAAATCAGGCATCTCTGCCCTGGTTTTCTAGCTTCCTTGTTGCACTATCTCCAACACAATTCCTCAACCCCACTGGCACCTCCAGTATTCTAACTTCTCACTTCTTCCATACCCAACAGACCCTATTTCATCTTTTTTTCTCTCACAACTAAGCAAAAACTCATAATCTAGCTTTTTGTCTAGTTTACTGACAATATTCTAAATGTCCTGGCCATCTTCTATTCCTTGTCACACTTGAGTGCAAAGACACTAAACCTGAATGAATCAAATAGTTCATTACTCCACACTTCAGAGAAAATGATGCCATCATAAAGTCCCAATCACTAACCCCACTGAGCCTTCAGTGCTGGAGTCATGCAGTCAATTTCTGACTATTTCCCTCTATTTCAAATCTTCCCACTCTCCTCAAATCTCCATTTCCCTCTTTGGCCCCAGAAAATGATCTTACATCTTGCTTAAAAGAAAAAATAGATGCCATCACATGGAAATGGCCACACATTTTTACTGCAAAGCCAGCTTCATCCTTCTAGTGTGGAGGTCTCTCCTCCAATTAGGGCCACCACCTCCACCTGGCTTTGAATATCATCCCCTCCCTCCACAGAATATTGATATAATGGACTATCCTTTCAGTTTTATTCCCAATCCCTCCCACTCTATCTTTTCTTACGTTCTCTTGACCCTATTTTTATCTACAGCTATTGTCTCATTTCTCTGCTTTCCTTTAAAACACAAATTCTCAAAAGTGTTGTATATACAGACTGTCTCCATTTCCTCACCTCTTCCCTACTCCTCTTCTCACTCCAGTCTGGCTTTTGCTCTCTCCATTCTACCTAAATGCATCTCACTATGATCCTCAGTGAATTCTTCATTGCTAAGTCGAATGGACAGTTCTCAAAGCTCAATTAACTTGATCTTCCAACTGTATATTACACATCTGGCTGTTCTCTCATATAGGAAATGTTCTCTTCCCTTGATTTCTAGAACTCTTCCCTACCCTGGTGTTCTTCATAGCTCTAGCTCTCCATCCTCTCCTTCTCTCTCCTCACGAGCTCATCTTTCTCTGCCTAACCTTCAAAAGATTTTGTGAACTCAGTGGAATGTGTCTCAGGTTCCATCGTAGGTCCCCTCTCTTCTCACTTCACATTTTCTCCCTGGATAATCTCATCTGCTCCCTTAGTGTCTATTACCATCCAAAATCTATAAATTTCAAACTTATAATCCATCTCTAGTTCTCTACTCTGAGCTCCAGACTTGGTATCTCTGTTAATAGGCACTTTAGACTCAACACAGTCAAAATGAATTCATTACCTTCCCTTCCTCTCCTAAAACCTTCCTGTATTACTATATTGTTCCCTGCCATAGTGGATGGCAACAAAAATCACTCAGTTGCTCAAGCTAAATATTTACGAATCATTCTTGAAGTCTATCTGTCCTTCACTCACCCATATCTAATCAAATCATTATGCTTTTTACTTAAATATCTTTCAAGACCATCAACTTTTCTCTGTATTTTCTGCTATATTCCTCATCTGAACTACCACCATCTACTGCCTGGTCTCTTACACATTTATTCCTCCTTTCTAAGTCCAAACCATTCTGGCAAAATTTAAACTGCAGCCACTGAAATCTATTTTTAAAAGCAATCATCTGATCACGTTACTCTCTATCTTAGAGCCATTCGTTTGCTCCTGGCAGAAAGACTAAATCCTGAAGATGGTCCTGGCCCACCCTGCAAGCTTCACCTTGTGATACTCTCCTCCCTCTTCATGTTTCAGCTGCACCTAACCTCCTCTCAGTTCCACGAACATAACTGAGCCTCTTCACGTCAGGGACTTGTACATGCTGTTCCCTCAGCTTCAAGGACTTTTTTACCTCCCACCTCCGTATTTTGACCAAGAGGCCTACTCATCCTCTAAATGTCACATTCAACTTAACTTCTATAAGAAAATCTCCCTAGACCCTCCAGAAATGGTCATATTTCCCTGTTATATGTTCTCTTCACTTATCACTTACTAAACTGTGAATAATGTCTTCCTCCCTCATTAAAATGTAAGCTACATGAGTACAGGTTTGGGGTCAACTGTGTTCATCCTTGTAACCCTCCACTTGGCACTGTGATTTGATTACAGCACATATTCAGTAATTACATTCTGAAAGCGTGAATGAATCAACGTTTCCATACCTTTGAATCTGCTACCTGCATGCCCTCCAACTCTCGTCCACTGGCAAATGTTACCCATTCCTTAAGCCTCCGCTTAAATGTTACTCCGTTTAATGCCTTCTTCAGCAGACAAAGCACCTACTCTATGGCACCCAGGTAGATGTCAATGTTTCTTTCCCATATTTTATTATCTTTGTCACATTCTTCTCATTCCCATTGCTTCTGACCATAATGCTCCTGTCTCCTCTTTGTAAGTCCACCCTAGTCATCCTTCAAGGGCACTGGTTCCAAGAAGCCTTCTCTTATTGGAAGGAGAACTCTCTAGAGCAATTATCTAATACTTTCTCCTGTTCAGTCATCACTTCCTGTCTCATCTCTCCCATTCAATTATTCCATCCTGTTTTATCTCTTATGTTCAGTTATTGTATTTTGTCTCATGCCTAGTTACTCTTAACTCTCCTGTCCAGTTACTGCATCTTTCTTGTCTCCTGCACATTTATTGCATCCTATGTTCTGTTGCATCTATTGCATCCTGTCCTATCTCTGTTCAGTTATTTCAGCCTTCCTCATCTTTCCCATTCAGCTATTTCATCCTGCCTTGTCTCTCCTGCTCATTTGCTACATCCCGTCTTGTCCCTTCCTCATTTATTGCATCCTGTCTCATCTCTCCGTTATTCTACCCCATTTTGTCTCTCCTACTCTTTTTTGAACCTTGTATTATCTGGCCTGCTCACTTACTGTACCCTGTCTTATCTCGGCAATTCAGTTATTCCTTCCTGTCTTCTCTCTCATATTCATTTATCGCATCCTGT